CCTGACAGGCAGGACAAACAGCCAAGAGTGGCAGAGAGAACAAAGACCAGAGGTAGGAGCCCTCCAGGAAGCACCAGGTCCCCCCCCCCCCGACATAGCCTTAGCTGCTGCAGACTGAAGCAATCCTCGTGTGCCACAGTGACCTAGTGGCACAGGGCCTCAGACTCACAGAGGAAACACTGGCCACACAAGTTACAGATCTCGAGATTAGAGGGCTGGATCTCAAACCCAAGGGCTTTCTGACTAGAATAGGGCCCAATGGTCACTCACAGTGACATGTCAAAGCAAAAGGCCAGTCTTTACCAAGTGGTCTTGCTAGTTCAGCTTCTTAAAATAATTTGCCTTATTTTTTTTTTTTAAATTTATATATTTAGTACAGGATCACACTAAATAGATCAGACTCTAGTGATTCACCTGTGCTCAGCCTCCCAAGAGCTGGGATTACAGGCCTGAGCCACCACTCCTAATCTTAATCTCCCATCTCGCTGCACCCTGGGGGTGGGGCTGGCAAGGCATGCCGCGGATCTCCCCCGTGTCTGCCTAAGCAGGTGCTTTAATCCACTGAGCTATCTGGCCTGCCCGAATTTGCCTCATTTCAAACTGTGAGAGTACTTTTGCATGAGAGAGTGATAAAGGAGGAATCAGGATAGAGGGAAAGGAGTCTGTTCATACATCGCTGATGGGGTATAAGTCGGTGCAGTACGTTGGGGGGCAAAATTTGGAAATACTGAAACAATTGTAAGATGTGCTAAACTGAGCAATTCCACGCAAATGAGTGTACATATTTTTTAAAAGCTCCAAGAATTCTCATCTCAATACTGTTTATAATAACAAAAATCTCTAGGTAACCTAGATGTAAATGGGTAAAAGATTAAGAAAAGCCCATACAGTGGAGTTTTATACTAGTATTACAGAGAGTAACTTATATATATAAACCAAAGAGATTGCCCATGACTTAGTGATTTTATTTATATGATTTTTAAAAATCATACTAATATTTTGATGTGTATATATTTATAAAATTCCTGAGGAATTAAGCAATACATCATACATAACACATCTTAGAAGAGAATCTAATAAGGAAGACTAGGAAAATTTTTCCTATCATATGTAATAGTATATCCATGAAAAAAAAAAAAAAGAAGAGTTTAAGTGGTAAATTTTAAAAATAAATAAATTATAAGTGGCTATTTATAGAGGTTGGGATTGTGTAGTGGTCTTTGGGGTTTCTGCAACTGTTTTCTTTTTCATTAAGGTCTTGCTATGTAGTCCAGGCTGTCCTTGAACTTGCTAACAAGTCTAGACTGGGCTTGAACTTGTGATCCTCCTGCCTTGGACCCGAGTGGTAGCATTCCAGGCATCCGTCACCACTCCTGGCTTGGCTCTTTGCCTTTTCATAAATGTCTGTCATTTGAACACTTTTAGCCAAGGAGTACAATGCCTCAGTTCCCCTCACCTTCCACCTAGTTGACTGCTTCTGTGACTGGGCTTGAACCCAGTGATGAATGCAAGCAGACCTGAAGTCTAAACAGCTCTCTAGGATTTGAAAAGTTATCTGTTACAATTTTTTTATTCTTCTTAGTAGTTGTTAAAATTGGGACCTGGTATTAAAATGGTTTGCCATTCACCAACTGAATAACAAGTTTGCCACTTAATGGCATGATTAGATCAATTCCAGAGTAGGAAGCCTGGGTCAGCGGGTCACAGGGTGAAGCCTCTGAACTCCATGTTACCAGAGGGAGCCACCCAGAGGGCAGTATGCTACGTGGCATAAGCCAGTCCTGAGAGGCAAAGGCTCCATGACTCATCTTATAGAAAGTGTCACCAGCGGCTGGGGCGGGGTCTGGAGTGGTTGTAAAAGGGCTCTGAGGTGCAGTTGTGCAAGACGAAAAGCTTCTAGCTGTGGGCTGCACCACAAGGTGAACAAACTTATTATTAAATCACACATTCAAGGAACGGGTAAGAGGATTAATTTCAGTCTCTATACTTTACCACAAGTCTCTTTTCAGTACTGGGGATCGAACTCAGTGCCTTGGCTCTCAACTGCATGCCCCCCAGGCCTTTCTATAACTGTTTACTTGGAGACAGAATCTCGTTGAGCTGCCTGGTAGCAATGCCAGGTCTTTTGATGGCTGCGAGTCCTGACAGGAGCCTGCAAGCTGCACGGAGCATGGAACACTTTCACATGTACTGCCTCACTGAAGCCTTGGGACAGATTTTTCAGAGGATGGGACAGAGCCTGAGTTCAAATCCTAGAATTGAACCTGGATGCAAAGTCCAGCCCTTGACTCCTAGCGAGGACAAGTTACTCCACCTCCGTTAGCCTCATGGTGTCTGCTGGGAACTCTGGGTTCCGATGGAACCCGGGGGTGTTAAAGATAAGGCACTCTCAGAAAAGAGGCAAGACTTCTCTTTCCTTCTGACGCCCCTCCTCCCGAAGGGCATGGTCTCTGTGAGAGGCCACAGTGCTCTACGAGGCCAGCTTGCTCTCTGGCTGCCCAGCACCTGCTGGGAACCCATCCAGGCAAGTGAGTGGCTGTCCTTGCTGTGGCGGGCAGCTCCTGGCCGGTCCTGAGAGGCCCCTCCTCTGGGCTCTGACACAGGATCCTCCTGCAGCTGCTGTGTCCTCCAGGAGCTCTTATTTATTTCTCAGTGTTGTAGCTATTGGTCTGACATCCATCCATCACACATTTTTTTTTAATTTTTTGTTTTAACATTTATTTATTGTGTGTGTGTGTGTGTGTGTCTCTGTGTGTGTGTGGGGGGGGGCAGCTCAGCCCACCAGGGGGCGCAGCTGGCTGGCATGTGGTGCTGGGGGATCGAACCGTGGTCCCTGTGCTTTGACCAAGCCTGTTCCAAGTAGGTGCTTTAGACCACTGAGCCATCTCTCCAGCCCCCATCACACATTTTTATGACAGCTTCTCCCCAGGATCATGGGACAAAGGTGGACCAGGCCCCAGGGGACAGGTCTGGCATAGCTTCTGCCGAACATCTTCCAACCGTCCCCCCAGATGCTGTCCATGTGCGCACCTCCTGCCATCCCTCCATGGCCTTGGTTCCTAGCTCTTGTTTTCCAAAGGAAGTCAAACAAAGAGCTTGGTTCTCGGACAAGAAATGCTGGGCTCACCATGCAGCGCCACCATTTTTCTCCAGCTCTACCTAAACTTTCTTTGATTTAGTTTCATCCTTTGCAAAACAGGGACACATGAGGCACATAATAGTATTTGAAGTAGAAACTAGCTTTTACTCATCAACGTAAAAAAAAAACAAAACCTTTTCCATATATGCATATGCAGGAATACAGTATAAAAATTCTGGAAAGACTCATATAGAGTGGTTTATAGTGGTACTTGCTAAGAAGCATATAAAAACTTTTATGTCATATATATTGGCATCATTTGGTAAGCATATATTATTTTTGTAATCTTAGCACATATTTGGGTATGATGAAAAAGCAAGAAGAGGGAGGGAATGGAAAGAGAAAAAGAGAAGAAAAATAGAAGACCTTTGCTTTTGCTGGAGGAGCCGGGGAGATGGCTCAGTAGAATAAGCACTTCCCTGGCAAGTGCAAAGGCCTGAGTTCAATCCCCAGTTGGGGTGGCGGTAGGTAGGAGAAGAGCCAGGGAGATGGCTCAGTAGAATAAGTGCTTCCCTGTTTCGCTGGAGGCTGGACCACAAAGCACCTTTGCTGGGTTAGATGTCCTGGTTCTGCAGTTAGTGCTAGTTGTAGAGTTCCCAAGGCCTTGGTTGGGCAACCTACATATATATACATATGTCAGCAACATTAAAATTCCCTTCATATATTTTGAGGAAAGATCTAGTAATTATCAAACTTGCAGTGGACCCAACTCCGGGGATCCAAGTGACCCTGGATTGGAGGAGTGGGTGGAGGAGTTATGAGCTCAGGCACAGCAGGAGGCCTCCCCGGGTTGCCAGACCACTGTAGGACATCAGGGCAGCTCCCCTGGGTCTCAGGAGACAAAGAGACATCATCCAGGACTAGGGAAGCAAAGAAGCTTCCACTCGGCCAGGAGGGAAATGCTTCCAGGAGATCTGGGTACCTCCCCTGGAACGTGTATACATGTAACGTATACATCACTCTTCCTGGCAGGCGGGCAGGAGGCCACCTCTCACTGAAGAATCTTCTAAACTGCTCATTTCCTCCAGTATTTTAAGATCTAAAGGCTCATGCAAGCAAAGGTTGCTCTGCGGCCTTATGTGCGGGACTTGTGTGGAGAGGGCGGGCTGGTATTCACCTTTCCCTCCATCCTAAAAGCTCAGAAGCACACATAGTAAAAGCAGCACAATCTTCTACGGCAAAGTCGCACCATCACCACCAAAGGCCATGCTGCCACGGTCATCCTTGGCCAACCCAGTCTTGGCATTTCCATGGGGTCAAAACTCTTCTCTCAGTTTTGATGGGTAAAGAGCTTATCAGCTCACACAGGATATGTTCTGAGAGGTTTGCATTTCTGGGAAAACGCTGAATACAATGCAAATTCCAAGGGCTATCTTGCTTCTATCTGTAGACAAGTGAGGTATGGGTCCCCACGCAAACAAGTATTCTGGATTTTGTTGTTGTTGTTGCTTTCTTTTTGCAGACCCCAGGCTAATTCCTAGCATTGCAAAAGGGTTCAGGGACTTTGCACTGAGCTACATCCCCAACTCTTTAAATTCTGGGATAGGGTCTCACAAAGTTGCCTAGGCTGGGCTTGAACCTGTGATCCTCCTGCCTCAGATTCTCAAGCTCTGTGGTTATAAGTACACACCAGCATGCTCGGGCAAAAATAGTTATTCTTGCTGGCAACTCTGAACACCATAATATTTCCCCACTTTGTTAATCCCTTTCATAACAAAGTCCTGCCAATCAAGCACATCCTTGTGAACCATTTGCATCTTTCTACTTGAAAACTTGGCCCTGACCCCAAACAAAGTCATCCAAAAGAAAGACAGTTTTGCTGTAAAAAGAAGTGGCGTAAAGGGTCCCCAAGATGACTCACCTTTTTCATGGCTATTTGGTGCTTGCGGTGGGGGTGGTGAGGTGACCGGTTTGGACTTGTCATAGTTGTTAAAGCTCTGGCTGCGCCGGTTGTTGGCAGTGGCTGACCCTCCACGTGTTTTGGCCTCACTGCCTGCAGCAGATACCCTTGCCGTAGGACCCGGAAGTCTAAAATGAAAAAGTATTCAGGATAACACATTCAGTCTCAGAAAAACTTTAGTGTATCAGAAGAAGGAATTCCAACCATGTAGGAGGTTTTAAAAAAATGACAAGAGACATCGTAGACACTGAGTTTATGGGGCTTTGTCAAAGGACTTGGTGGAACCATTATGAACATCTAGGCTAGCGATAACTACAGCAAAGTCTGATAGCAAAATGTGCCTAGCAAACTTTTGGGGAAAGACAGAATTTTCTTTTTTTTTTTCTTTTTTTTAAATGTAGCTAGTACATAAGGTTTTATTATGTAGACCAGACTCTCAGTGATTCTCCTGTTTTCAGCCTCCCAAGTGCTGGGATTACAACATGCGCCACTATGCCCAGTCTCAATCACCATCTCAGCGGCACTGTGTTCTGCCTAAGCAGGCGCCTTTAGTCCACTGAGCTATCTGGATGGCCCAAAACAGAAATTTTGAAGGGAAAAAATATGAACTAAAAATATAAAGCTCATTTTCCCTTTTCCTTGGAAACATCTTAATTTTTCAGTAAGCCACGTCATCTCTCATTCCATCAAGCACGGAATAGAAAAGGCCTAACCCTCAACTGTCTACCCTAGGTTCACACATTGTCTTGAAGCTGTAACCCAGGTATGTACAGACCAAGGAAAGAATGCAACGTATAATGGCAATAAAGGGGATTTCTACTACACAGAACTCACATGTGCCATGAAAGCTTAGGGGCTGAGTTACACACACTTGTCCAGATATGATTTCTTTCAACACCCGACAGCCTATCTTCCTGGCATTGCTTTGAGGCTGAAGCCCAGATTCTTTGCACAATTGATGGATAAACTCTTAATTTTCTCTGTAGAACCAGCAGGATTCAGTTAGCCCAAAGACAAATGTACACTTCTCCTTTAAATAAAATACTTCATTTTGAGTGTTTTGAAAATAAAGGCACCTGAGTTGCTTGCTGTACTTCTAAAGATATTATGGCTTAATCTCCAAAGAATTAAGGGTAAGACTCCCCAGAACACAAGTTTGGCCCACAGATTTACTAAACAGGCTGTTTCTAAAAATTAAGGTTGAAAGATGAAAAAATGATGACATATTTAGAGATATCTTCAAAGTAAAACCCACTGAGCTGTGTTTCAAGGCAACTAGAACCTCAGCTGACTCATGTTAGGGCCAATGATAGGTCTGAATTTTGAGCTCACAAAGCTTTCAGCCTTTTCTTCGCATGCAACTCTTGGTCCCCAAAGCAGCCTGCAGCCTGGAAGCAGTTTAGACAGAAACAGCAGTCACTTTAAGTTGCGTCTTGTGGCTGAACAAGAAAGATGGCTGCAGAGTAAAGAGAGACCATACACCCTGTGGGAGAGGACAGAAAGACGCATCCAGCTGAGAAGAAGCTGCCCGGTCCCCTGACAGGAGCTGGGAGAGATGGAGGTGGTCGCTGTGCTCCAGCCAAAGGCAGCAAGATCCTCAAGACCTTGTTTCTTGGGAAGTAGGATTTGGGGCTCTCTTCATTTGCCCCCGCTTGTTTGGAAAAGCTATTCCCTCCATGACAGGCACAGAACTGGGTACAAAAGCTATCAGCGCCAGTGCCCAGCTGAGGGCCCAGATGGGTCTAGTGTGGCTAGTCAGGGAGATCCAGTACCATGGTCTTGGCACTTCCTGGTTCTGTTTCTGATGTAAGGGGTGCCCCACTACGTCCTTCGGGTCAGGGGTACCTGGGTGCCACAGCCAGCAAGGGAGGCTTGCAGGTGTAGACACGGAGCTCCTAGTTTGAACTTAGTGAACCACACCATACGTTGTAGACTCATTATGCCCACAGAGAGTCCCTGAAAGACGCCGAGGATGGGTTCTCAAGTGACGTAGCAGCAATATTAAGTGTGCAGGGCAACATAGGTCACGGCATCCTGTGTCAATGGGGAACTTGCAAAATCAGGGGAATAGAAAGCAATGAGGAGGAAAAGGTGCGCCCTTTCCCCAGCTGCTGAAGAGTCCCCAATGAGCTGGGCCTAGATGAGGTGACAGCAGATTGTTAGGATAATGCAGGGACTTTATAGAGGCAAGACATCCAAGCACAGGAGGAGGCGGAGCCAGCCTGAATAGAACACCGAGCTTTTCTACCCATGAGACTGTGGACCAATGTCATGACCTCTCTGAGATCCACGCTCCTAGACTATAACTTTGGAATAATAATAAACTACCTAGTGGATCATTATAAATTGGAAATGGGGGCCAGTCAAATAGCTCAGCGGATTAAAGCACCTGCTTAGGCAGACACGGGGGCCAGGAGTTGGATCCCTGCTCCTGCCCCTGCGGCACACTGAGATGGCAATTGAGACTGAGCGTGGTGGTGCGTGCCTATAATCCCAGCTCTTGGGAGGCTGTAAACAGGCAGATCATTACAAGTCCAATCTAGTAGTGAGACCCTAAACACTCTGTAGACCCTTCTCTAAAATATAATACAAAATACAAAACAAAATAAAAATAAATAAATTGGAAATGGGACTCAACATCCCCCCGTTGTAAGCCCTGTGTTATTTCTCCTTATCACATTCTCTGCTAGGTACAAATTCATAAAGCTGTCCACTGTAAACAAAACATGCTGAGGTGTAAGACAGAATCAGAGGGACAAGGAAACAATGGGCCTCAGTGCAGTAGAGAAAAGAGACAAAAATCAACATCTGGGGTCAACATTTTCAAAGAGGTAAGGCAAGCTTTATCGAGCAGGGCTCTTTATCCAGTTAGAAAACAGCTCACAAAAGAAACTAATCATAATTAAGTTCTTATACTTGGGGCAATTTCTGAGTTATTGGTGGGTCAATCTCTCTCCCTTTCTCTCTTTCTCTCTCTGGTAAAATATTCTTGGCTTTGGATCAATGACCATATTCTGGCCTTCCCACAGTGGTCATGGCCACACTTGCTTCAGTGACTGAGGGGCCTAAGTGCTCCTTGGATGGGGGTGGCACATCCTCCAAATGGCTGCAGGGTTGTGCCACGTGTCCTGTGACGTGAACAAGGAATTTCAGAGGGCCTTAAAGATAGCTGCTAAGTGGAAACACTGTCTACAGAAACCTCATGTCAGCTGATGTCACTCACTGCCACAATGTCTAAATCAGGACAGCTCCGTTAATCTGATAGAAAACTTGGTGGGAACCAAGTAGTTTCCCGGATACTTCACAGAGAATCAGTGCTATGTGGTTGGGTAAGGCTTAGGTTCTGCTGTGAATGGCCTCGGACTACTGCTTGCTCCTGAGTGAAGTCTCCTCTGTCCATCAGAACATTTAACAAAACCCACCTCACATATAAAAGTTATCAGGCCAGGGATACAGTTCAGTGACACAGCACATGCTTGGTAAGCACAAGGTCCTGAGTTCAATTCTCAGCACCAAAAAAGAAGAAAAAAGAAATCATCAATGAATGTATGGTGGGTGGGAAATAACTCATCCAGGAAAGAAAAGAGTGAGAAGGACTTAGGACTTCAAAGTCAAAGGAAATCATGAAAACTTAAGATACCTACGCAATCATGGTAGTGGTGGGGTTAGGAGAGGTGTCCCTGGCCTTTTTGCCAGCTGAAGAGGGTACAGCCAGCTAGGGTGCTCAGCCTTGTCTAGACCTTAAGGGGCTGCTTGACCCCAGCCAACATCCTGCTTACTGTGCAGTGAACAATAAAATATTCTAAGTTCAGAAGTCATGCTGAGTACTCAAATGTTGGCCTTGAAGGTCAGTGGGATGCTCAGGGAAGGTCCCAGTGAGGGTGCAAAAGCAAGACTGGGCATGCTGAGTGGGACTGTGAGGACCAGAAAGCAGAGTTCAGAATGGGCTACCGCAAGGAAAGCTTGCAAAACATCTAGAGAACAGTTAGTGTGTGCTGACCCTTGGACAGAATGGAGGGGAGGAGGGCAGAGAGGCAAGCTGGGCCAGAAAAGGGAAGACCTTGGACGGTGTCCTACCCTCCAGGGATGAGGCATTAATTAAGGAGAGTGGAGCCGGAGTTCCAAGAAGAGCATCTTGTAGCTCACCACTGACACAGACCCTGTGCCTCGGGCTCAGTGATTCGAAGTTCATTAACGTTAGCATCCTTGTGTATTGCGGGGGCTTCCACTCTCATCCCCCAGCCTGGAAGCATGTGCTGTCAGTAACATCTGAGTCCCGCCCTGATGAGCAGCCGAGTCTTGCCATGTGACACAGCTGTAGGTGCCACCACAGATGCTGCCACCAGTGCCTGCCTTGAGGAAGCCCAGCAGCAAGAGGGGAGCCAGGCAGGTCAGCTCCACGCCGTCTACAGCCCCATGCCATAACCCCAAGGTCCCAAGACTCTGCTACGAGAGGAACCTGACCTCTGGTACTCATTCCACATTAATAGTTTCAACATGGTACAACGGGGGGTTCCCGGAAGCACACACATGTTGCTTTTGGGACGCAAATATTAAAGGAAGTCTATATGGAAAAGGCGGGAGAAAAATCCTGCTGTTACTAGAGCCACTGCGGCCAATTTCCCCAGTGTGTGCTCAGTCGAGCAGGCAGGGCAGGAAAGCTGTCCTTTCTGGCACATAACCTACGAACGTATCCCTGCTCGACGCACTGTACGTGCTGAGGGGAAGAAGGCGGTTCTTCTTCCCCAAGCCACTTCAAAGGCTGTGAGCAGAGGGACGCCCCTCCCAGGAAGGACGGCAGCTTGTGAGCACATGCTGGGCTGGGGAGGTATGTCCGTGTCGGAGATGCTTTGGGCCAGAAGGGTGATTAAGTGCTACATCTCTCATTTCCATGACATCTGCTTTTCAGCAGCGAGGCAGGCAGGACTCACTACCAGCTCCACTGACTCCCTCCACAAGACAGCCGTGTCAGACCAACTCTATGAAACTCAGAAGAGGCCCAGCTGCCTTACCTGGTCCAGATCAACCCAAACTAACGCCACTACCACGTATCTGCTATTTATAGTACATTGGTTACATGTAAGTTCTATGGCATTGGAGAGACTTCACTTCATCCTCATGCCATTGGGGAAGAGGCAGGACTCCCAGAGCACTAATAAGGACACACAGGCTTTTGCAGAGGTTAAGTAAGACACCCAGGTCACAGGAAGTGGTGACGGCATCCCTTAGCCACTACTGCTTTACTGCCTCCTGAAAGCAGAAGAGGCCCAAGCAGAGGGCTCACCAAGGGGATGCCAGGGGAGGGGGAACAGGGTAGGAATCTGCGGAGATGCACACGCTGCTCCACACAGCCCCATCTGAGGGTATCTGAGGTGTTTGCAGTCCATCGAAAGACCTGTTCCCAGGGCCGGCCAAATAGCTCAGCAGATTAAAGCACCTGAAAGCAGGCACAGGGGCCTGCCATGCTGGCTTTACCCCCACCCCCACCCCTGCCCCCCGGGGGTGCTTAGAAGGCAATTGAGACTGGCCGTGGTGGCATGGGCCTGTAATCCCAACGCTTGGGAGGCTGTAAACAGGAGGATCTCTATGAGTCCGATCTGGTAGTGAGACCCTGAACACCCTGTAGACCCTTCCCTAAAAAAATACAAAACAAAAAGACCTATTCCCAGAGCTCTTGGGGGAGATGGCCCACTGGGACGGTCCAGATCTGAAATGTTTCCCAAATGTCTCATGCATTCAGAAGTGGGGCTTTCAAAAGCTGATTGGATCATGGGAAAGGCGACTGCACTGCTGGATTCATCTTCCCATGAGCTCGCAGCTGAGTGTGCTGCTCTGCGCTGGAGCTGGTGGGGAGAAGGAGGTCCTGGAGTGCCTCTGGTCCCTCACGCTGGCTCTCCTGCCCTCTCTGCTTCCTGAGGCTGTGCTGTGCAGCTTTCTTCTACCCGCGCTTCCATTACATTTTGCTGCAGAGTAAGCAGACCATGGACTCACCCCTCCATAGCCTGGAGCCAAACTAACCTCTGTTCTTAGCTCCTCCCCAGTAATGAGAACTGAACTCAGGACCTTGTGCTTGCCAGGCAAGCGCTTATGCCACTGAGCTATCTCCTCAGCCCTAATCTCTGTTCTTTTCAGTTAATTTTCTCAGCTATTTTGGTGACAGGGACAAAAAGCTGACTTGTATACCTACCCAGGCAGAAGGAGTAGGGCTGTCTTTTTGGCAACTAAACTTTACTGCTATGCTTAGCAATGCTTCATCAGCTGAAGTGTTTATCAAGATTTTGCTCAAGCCTTTGGAGAAGAGAGGGCGAGGAGGAGCATTAGGCAAATAACAAACACAACATCCTTTTGTTGCACTCCTCAGAGACAAAATGCACCCTAAGGAAACTCTCATAAGGATGTGACCCCCAAGGGAAGCCCCTGGAAGCTCTGTGCCCAGCACAGCCTGGGTAGGGATCCTCATCTTCCAGTTCTTCCTCCCTTCCTGTGACCTGCAAACATACTACGTTCTTTTATCATCTGGGGCTGATAACAAGTCATGCATGGGTTGGGCATGAGCTTCCAATTAGTTATTTTCCCAGCTAGCTCTTGTTTTTCTTTATCTTCTAGGACAGAACACACCATGGGAATAGACACTTGATTTCACATTTCCTCCAGGCTTGCCCCTCCCTTCCTTCCACCTGCCCATGCATTTGCATGGCTCTCATATTAACTGGGAATGCTTCGCTGGAGCACTAGTGTCTGCTCCAATCTGCGCCTCCTGTCACTCATCTGGGAAACCAGTTGCTCTCATACATGGCTTCTAGAAGCAGTGGCAAACTTAGGTCCCCTTCTCTGCCCCCCCACCCACCCAGGGCCCACAGCAGCGCTTTCAGCCCAGAAGGACCCTGCCAAGCAGCTTCTCCAGGCAGCAGATGCTCGGCTAGGTCTCCTCATGTGCGAACTTTCCAGAACTCATAACATTCTGCTCTGAGAAGCCACCCAGTGAGAAGCAGACCAGGGAAGCCAACAGATGCTCAGTGTAGCTTTGTACATAGATGAAGACAGACGTGACGGGTGGGCTTCTCTTTACTGAGAGTCATGCTTGAAAGATAAAGATTTTTAAAAAGCAGCTTCAAAACCACATAAATGGAAAAATTCAAGCAGATGAAAGGGGGATGGCACAGGATGGGGAATAAACTCAGAGTCTGGGGCTAGACCACTCAGGCTCTAATCCAGATTCCTCCACTTTCTGCATGACCTCGGGCACATGACCCAACTTCCTAAACTCTAGTTTCCTCATCTATAAAATAGGGAGAGTAACAGCCTACTCCTGAAGACTGATGGGAGGGTGAAATAAGGCGATGCATTCAAACTGGTCAATAAATGTTCACCCTTCAGAGCTTTAAAATAACAGATATAACAATGTGACCGGCTATCGCCATACCCCAAAGACATCCCAGGCTGAGGACATGCTGCAGCAGACAGGCCGAAGTCTGAATCAAGAGAGCTATGTGAGCGAGCCTATTTTCATTGCATTTTTATTTTATTGTTCAGGGAATTGACGTGATCTCTCCATGGCGTGCAAGGGCATCCAGAAACAAAGACAAGACCTCGATGCTCTGCTGTGGAGCATCCACACCTCAGCTCACTGTAACTCAAGGGAACACCAACCCCACATTAGTAGTTTTAATAATAACAACAGCAACAGCAACAACAGCAACACACACACAAGGAAGGATGCAGGAAAGCTCGGATTAGGGCTGGGGTGAAGCAGGCAGCAAACTTGTCCTAAAAGCGCGCTATAAAAAGCTCTCTAGAAACTCACTTTTCCCTAAATCTCAGAGGATTCCGGGGACAAAGCACTCAAAGGCAAGAAGCAATTAAATGAGCAACATCATGTACACCTCAAGCTCACCTACATGCTGTCACACATGCACACACACGCATGTGCACACTCACATACGTTCAATAACCCCATGGCCACTCTCAAACTCCCCATCACTGTTATCATCAGCCAAAGCGTGTTTGGTTTTCTGGGACTGCAAACATGAAATAGGGAGAGGAAATTCAGCCAGAGCAGAGGGAGTAAAGGAACAGTGGGTTGGGGTTTAAACCATGCCTCAAAGGACACAGGGAAAGTCTAACCTAGAGATCTTTTTCTGACCCAGAGTGAAGCGGATGATTTTGCTTTGAGATGAGTCCTTGGGTGATGCACTGCATGATGGGAGAGAAAAAAGTGGAGCAGATGAGTGAGGAGAGAAAAGAGACGCATCAGGCACATCAACAATAGTCTTCTGACCATGGCAACATTCCTACTTTGTTCCCCTTGGCCCACATTTTCCCACAAGATGCAGATTTCTTGCTAGGTTCAGCATTACTGCATCAACAGTTCTGAAGGGAAGAAATGGGGCTCAGGATTATCCAAGAACTGCTATGCTGCTGTTTCCCCCTTAAATGCCAAATATCTTTTCTTCTTTGGGTCTTTCTACCTTTCTGAAATACTGAGAGTTTTGGGGAATAAAGAGGTTAAGGCATAGTGTTCTATGTCATACCTTTCTGAAGGGCTGGGATGTTTCTATTTCATAGACTTGTTCTGTTGGAGTGCTTTCCAAGTGACTGCTGTGAACATCTCATAAAGTTGATGCCACATGTTGTTGCTGGTCTTGGGACAATTTGCTATGAATGTTACACAAATGGCTACTTGAAGCCTGTTACAAATTGGCTGAATTCTGATGTGTTTAGGGGACCAAAATGCATATATGTATACATGGATCCTGCTTGAGTTTAACAAGATATTAATCTAAATTTATTTCACTGCCTCGTGAAAGACAAAAATGTGTATCTTTCTCACATCCGCACACCTTGTGACTTGTCCATGAAAGAAGCTGAGGTGAGACCTGTAATGTTGGGGTCATGGTTCTTTGGGAAGCGAGGAGAGAAATGACAATGGAGAGAAGGAAGCCCCTTTCTGGGCTCTCCCTTAATATGTGAGTATCGATCGTCTGTGAGGTAGACACGCAGACACGCGCCATGGAGACCACGCTTCTCTTCCAGTCTCCAAACTGGGGAGATGCCTCTGGGGTGAGATGGGGCCCAACTTCTTGGCCACCACATGCCTTCTGAGAAGAGCCAAGAGGCAGGCGAGTCCACATATCGCTGCCCTGAAGAGCTCCTCTGCCATCTTCATGCCAAGGCCCCAGACTCCCTTTGTCACCTTCCACACTGCTTTTCTTAGCAGACTTCAAGGCAAGCCACACTGTCAACCCCAGATGGCATGTGTGTACCCAGCAGAGCTCTAACCCAGCAATGAGGCTTGCAGCAGCATGGACATTGGTGATCAAGGACATGGGATAGCTTTTTTTTTTCTTTTTTAACTGGGATACAAGTGCTCTGGCTACAGTGCCTGACTCTTTTAAGAAAGTGAACACTTCCCATGGAAATGGAGGCTGCAGGGTAGCGGAGCTATGTGCCATAAGTCGGTATGTCTGAGCACAAGTCCCTGGCAGCCCTATAAGGAAAAATGCTTCATGAAACCAGGCCGGCACTGGGGCCACATTTGCAGAATGCTATATCCATGCCCTCTGCAGCTTAACAATGCATGCTGGGTCCTTGCCTCAGTACGTATCACCACCCCTTACCTAGCTGCTCCAGTCAGAACTCTAGACTTTACCTGGGTTGCCTCTTTCTCTCTCACTAGAGAGCAAATCTGTTTCAGGCCTCCTGGATCAATCTCTGAATTATCCTACCTGGTTCCTCCCCATTAATGTCCCTACTACCTCCGTCTATGTAAGCTCCTACCATCTCCTGGGCTGCGAAAACCTCTTCTTTACTGGGGTCCTTCCTTCCATTCTTGCTCATCCACGATCTTATTCTCCAAAGAGAAGCAAAAGTAACTTCCCCCCATCCCGAAAAGAAGTATAAATACAATCAAGTCTTCCTCCTACGTAAGGTCCTGCCATGACCTCCTGTGCTCCTTAGATGGAGGCCCTGTCTGTCTTCGCAGTAGCCGGCACTCTGGCCTTACCTCAGTGCCACACCAGCACACCACCTCCTTCTGTGGCCATGGCAACGGGCCTCCTAGCATCCAGGCTACTTGTCCCCTTTCCCTTGTCCTTCACTTTCCAAATCCTACCCCAGAGCCCTGGCACCGGCTGCTCACTCTGTCAGGTCTTACAACCAAGTTGTTAAGGGTTGGCTTTTGTTAATATGAACTTGTTTTTAACATGACCCCCCCCCATAGGGGTCATGTCCTCCAAGTGACCTTCTCATCAGCTTACTGTAAATTAGCACCCCAGTACCACTCAGCTGTACCATCCTACTGTAATACCCACTACTGTCTGATGCTTTCCCTATTCGTCGGTTGGCCTCTTCCAGTAGCCTGTGAACAGCAGCGCCTTCACTATCTTGTTCATCCCTGATTTCCAAGGGCCTAGCATGGTGCTGGGCACACAGGACACTTTACCATAACTCAATAAAAGAATGCCTATCAGCAGTATCAAGCACCCAAGCTGGCCTAAGACAAATAGCAATTCCTTAGCCCATGTTATCTCCCCATTCCCCACCCTGCAAACCCTTCCCCTGCAACCTAACCCAGGTGAATCTCCCAGGGACTATGCACTCTGCACATTGCAGGCTGGCAAATGATTGTCCCAATCATCCTGGCCACCAGGGAGCCCATGACCTCCCACTGGGAGGGTGCAGTGCACACTTGTCTGTTCTTCATTGCTAGCTCAGACATCTCTCCAACCCCGCACATTTCCATAATGTGAACTGGATATAATTAGATAATTAATTAGGGAGACTGATTTACATTACACCCATCATTGCCAATTTTAACACAAGCATGATTGGGAAATCATTCTTCTCAGGGAAAAAAAAAAAAAAAACCTACAGCAGTCTATAAGACATCTGCTGAACTCAAGCAGCCTGGGGCTTTGCCCAAGTAAAACAGGAGATAAAGACCATCAAGGTGTGTGAGAAGCTTTGCCTGTGTGGTGTTCTGGGGCACTGGCAAGAGAAGCCATTACTGTTCAGCACGCAGTAGATGATATCAAGCGATCAATTAGATCAGTGGCATTCAGGTTTTATGATTAAAGACTGCTTAACTGTAGATAATGATAATGAGCTTCTCTTTAGAAATTTACTATGCATCATCCAAAACTCTCCCATTCCTGATTTCCTTTTTTTATTTTATTTTTTTAATCATTATTTAATTTGGTGCAGGGTCTTGCTACACAGCTCAGACTCATAGTGATCTTGTCTCTGCCTCCCCAGTGCTGGGATTACAGGCATGCGCCACCACACCCAGTTTCAGTGGTGCAGGCCCAACACGGCATACGATATCAGGAATTGCACCTGGGTCCTTGTGCTTGCCAGGAAGGCACTTAGATTGCTGAGCTATCACCCTAGTCCCCTAATTTCCTTTTTTATCTGCCATGAAAACAAATGAGTTGCAAGGTGACCTCTTATAGAGTTCAGAGCACAGCTGTGGCCCTGCAGCACAGCACAGGGTAAGCCCTGGGTACTCCGCTCATGCACGGTTCCAGGCGAGTCCGCTCAGAAGCATCGGGCCCCCTGGGAACCTTTACCAATTCCAGGTCCCGGACCTAGAAAGCAGGGGCCACTCCTGCAAGGTGGGGGCCAAAGCTCACGAGTTCAATCTGCTCCTGCTGTTTAAATTCAACAAAACCCAGTCATATTCATGACCACTACCCGCATCAAGGGACACTGACTGCTCTCGGGGAAGGTGCTGTCTGTAGTCCTGCCAACACTCACCACCTTTTTCTTTGCTTCATTTCTTTTTTTTTTTTTTTAAATATTTATTTATTTATTTTGTGTATGTGTGGCCAGCTCAGCCCACCAGGGGGCGGGGCTGGCTGGCATGTGGTGCTGGGGGATTGAACCGCGGTCCCTGTGCTTTGCTTAGCTTAGCTTGTTCTAAGTAGGTGCTTTAGACCACTGAGCCATCTCACCAGCCCTGCTTCATTTCTTTTCTGGAAACTCAAGGCATCTGTCAGAATAGAGTTCTCCTCTTTGCTAAGGAAGAGGATTCTTATGCTCTGGCTCCCAGCACCTGGCTTGTACATCGGCACACACGGGGTTTGAAGTTGGTGTGTGTCCTAGGCAGAGTAACGGCAGCACAGCTTGTGGGCTCCAGCCGGCTGCTGCGATGCTGACCTATGAAAGTGCACATCTCTGCGGAGACCAGAAGAGGACCAGTGCACCCAGGTCAGGGTTTTGTGATCCCGCATGAACCCCACACTTGTCAGCACTGCGCATGCCTAGGTAGCACAGGCTACAATGTGGTCCAGGTGGAGAAGGGTGCTGGCAAGAGAAAGTCAGTTAGCAAAGAGCCCCACCTGGACTGCATCTCAGCTTGTGATTTTGATGGCTGGTGAGGCGCTGGCTGGTGAGGCTGGCACAGGGCTTGGGGAGTGGCCGACACCTGTTGCTGAGTGGTGCCAGCCTGGCACTGGGATGGAGCCCCGGCCGCCGGACACCCGGCAGGTGGCCCGGAGGAGGCGAGGTGCTGCTTCTGGGGCTGCTGCTGCTGCTGCTTGTATCGGGAGAGACTGAAGAAGAGGCCTAGGATGGCCTTGAGGTTTCCATTCCTGATTTCTGCAAGACAAGAAAGAGACTCTGGTCAGCTGTGGGACCTTTCTTTTTCCTATTTACCTGGCCACTGCCACAGCCCTCACGTAAGTTGAAGCCCTGCAAGATGTGGCAGTCTTCCTGAACACTGCCCTGGCATTGCAGTCCCTGAACATCAGGCCTAAACCACAGTGAAATTAGCTTCTCCGCTCCAGCAGGTTGAGAGCGGCTACACTGGGCGAGTTGCAACTGGCTGGCCAGCAAGCGCAGGAGGAGGAAATTCTCTGACAGGACACCACTGAAAAAGCACATGTCACCAGCAAGACCGAGCTTGTCTGCTGGCAAAGGGAATGTTCTGGATGCAGGCGCGCTCTGGCACTAGCAGAGCTGTGCCAGGCCCGCTGGCTCTGCCAAGTCCGCTTTCGGAGCCTTGAGCCACTTTCATGCACCAAGACGCTGCCACCCTGTTCCCCAGCTGTGCTCTGCATGGCCCAGGCATCCTCCTCCCAAATCCAGAACTCCCTCTGCCCTGCCCGTAGACCAGAGAGCTCTCACATGAGGGGCGCAGGGATGGGCCATGAGGGCCTGCTCCTACGAAGCCCTCTATGAAACAGCATCCATATGAAAATAAATTAGAACAGAGCGGGAAGAGATTTGTCTTTATTCCAGACAGTGAATTCCAGCCATTAACATGCACTTGCCTCAAGGCATTCATAGAGCCCAGGAGAAGAAAGTATTTATTCACAGGCAGAGCGGATGGGTCATGAGGGCTGCTCCTGGGGGATCTTTTCTTTCACAGCAGATGCTGAAGGTCAAAGTTTAAAATGACCCCGAGGGAGAGGCACTGGGCCACCTGCAGGACAGCGGAGGAGGAGGAGAGCCCGACGGGATGCCCCCTTGGCCACCGGCTTTGCTGATATCCTGGGCTGCCTTTCTCTTCTGAGCTGTCTGGAGGGAATGAGGAGGACCTAGGGCTTTCTTGAAGGCCCAGCGAAAGAACTCAAGTTTCTTACTCCCTGCAGGGAAGATGGGCAGCCTCCAGGGCCCAGAGGCACTTCTTCGAGGGACAGCAGCGTGGGTCACGTCGGTCACATCCTGAGGAAGCTCCCCTCTCTACAGGCTTGGAAGGAAGCACACATCTGTACTTCAAGAGCCCAAGCTTCCCCTGTGCTCAGGAGCCAGCAGGCTCTGGGCAAGGGTAACGGCTGCGAGGACCACAGTATCTGGGAAACCCAAGCTGTGGCCAGGTCACTGAACCTCTCTGGGCCTCGGGAAAATGGCAACCCTGAGACCACCTGTCCCATCCCTCAAGCTGATTCTGCAGATCAAATGAGAGCTTGGGTGTGAAAGGCCACTGCTTGGTTACTGTGAAGATCATAGCCCCCGAACCCCAAATAAGATTCTCACATGGCTTTGGCTTCATGTCTCAACAACAATGGCATTCTTGATACTGAACTTATAATTTATTGTGCAAACCATGATTGTTTTGACAATGAAAGAGAGGAGCCCTCAGTTATGCCAGGATGACCGGTGTGTCCTGAACTGACGCAGACAAAGTGGGAGATCCTGTCACTGAGTGTGGAGCATGCTGCATGGAGGGAGTGGAGAAGGCTCCCACCCGGCTTCTCTGGGTAACTCAGCTTTAACTTTCTGCGGCTTCCCTTTCTGTCCTCCAGAATACGAAGAAGATGCCCACATCCGCAGCATGCTGCTTCCAACGGTTCTCACCTGGACACACACATCAGAGTATGAGGCTTGGACGAATCATCCAGTAAGCTGTTTATATTACTCATAGAAAGGAGAGGCATCACTCCCCCCCCCACCCGTGACACCTACGGGACAGTGACAGCAAGGGACAGAATCAAGATGCAGCTACAAGTAATGACATTCAGGCCAGCAGCTATGAAGAAATTTGGGGAAATATTTTCCCATCTACTTGAACCCACTGGAGGGAGAACGTGGCATTAATCATAGGAACAGATGTAAGCTACACAAGGCTTATTTTTAGTGCCTTTGACACCTAGTGGCTGGTTAGACACCTTAGAAGAAGCATTGCTATCGGCTAGTGTGTGTCAGACTGAGATCTTCATATGCATGATTCCATGTAATCCTGCATATCTGTGGTACCAGGGATCAAACCTGGGACCTTGTGTTTGCTAGGCAGGCACTTAAGCTGCCGAGTTATCTCCCAGGCCCTCTGAGAAGTATTCTTAATCCTCTTTTGCTTAAGGGGAAATAAGAATTCAAAAGGGTTTTTCAACTACTCAAAGGCAATAAATAGCTCTGGAGGTGGGATGTGAATCTGGGTTTCTGGGGCCCAAGGTCTGGGTTTCTAACACTGTGTAACTTGGCTGCCATACCTATGCGTCATGTGCGGCGCACGGAAAGCAGGACAGATAATGTTTTATTTATTAAGCTAGCTGATAGACGCTAAGTCATCTCTATTCTCCTGGTATGTCAAACATTCCAGAACACATTTTTTTTAACCTCACAAGGAAAACAAAGAGGCGAGAAATTTAATTCAGCATAGTCAGGGTCTCACGGGCTGTCTGCTGCTGAAAGTTGTCATGTCCGTGTCAGCACCCTGTGGCCTAACAGTCAACTCCAGTGTAGACATCGGGGCTGGTCCTGTCATATTCTCTCCCTGCTGCTGTGGTGGCCAAGTCACTTACTATTTGCAGCAGTTTGTTCCACGGCACTCCCTGAAGCATTTTTAACCGTCAAAGAGCATAGCACCCCTTCAGTATAGCACCTTTTTTTTCTTTTTTTTTCTAGGAGGTGGCATTTCTATTATAAAGATCATTGATTTGGGGGAGACAGAAAAACCTATGGTTGAATCTCACAGTCTATCACTGATCAGCTTTAAGTTGTTCCAGTCCAAGTTCTCTGGACCTCAGTGTTCTCCTATAAAATGGGTATGATCCCCACTGCACCCCCCCTCCGAGGGCTGACAGGATGACTGAATGAGAAAAGGAGTTCCCAGGGGTACTGCCTCACCCTGTACTTCATTTTTTGGCTCAGAAAGTATGGTCCTGGAGCTGGGGAGATAGCTCAGTGGCATAAGCGCCTCCCTGGCAAGTATGAGGTCCTAAGTTCGATGACTGGTACCACATGCCATGCCAGCTCCAAAATCGGGCGTGGTGGCACATGCCTGTAATCCCAGCACTGGGGAGGCTGAGATAGAATCACTAGAGTCCCAACTGTGTAGCAAGACCCTGAATCATTACAAAAACAAGAAAATATGGTCTGTCTACCTGCAGCCTTCTTAGAACAGCTTAGTGCTATTCCCTTAAGGAGCCTGAGAAGGGGTCGACATGGCCCGTGTTCCCCTGTAGGTTGGTCCCTGGTGTCCTGAAGACAACCACTCATGACAGACCCACTTTGGAGAAAGCTAAAGGGTTTTACACATAGCTTTACTGAGGTATGAAGCAATTTGTAAATTAGGGGCGTCATTCAGTGAACTTTAGTGCAGTTATGATATTGTAGTTTTAGAATATTTCTATCACTCCAGAGAGATTCCTCAAGCCCTACTGTAATTAATCTCCAAATCCAGTCCTAAGCTACCAGAACTACCTTCTGTTTCTAAAGATTTGCCTACTCTGGGCACTTTTATGGCAATGAAATCCTGGAAAAGTCTTTGCATCTGGCTTCTTTTACTTTGCATCATGTTTTAAAGATCCAGCCATTAAGGCTGGCAAGATAGCTCAGTGGGTTAAATGCCTGCTTTGGCAAGTGCAGGGACCAGGGTTCGATCTCTGGTCCCGCCCCCAGGGCACACTAACCCAGTGACCAAGTCCGGGCATTATGGTGCCTGCCTATAATCCCAGTGCTGGGGAGGCTGAAAACAGGAGGATCTCTACGAGTCCGAGCTGCATAATGAGACCCAAGATCCAGCCTTGTTAGCACGTGCGTCAGTTTCTTTACAATGCTGAGTAGAGAGCTCATCATGTGGAAGGACCATATTTTGTTTACCCATCCCCCAGAAGAGGGACATTTGGGCTGTTCCCTTCTTTTTTAGTTCACAAAACTCAAGAGTGGTGAAAGTCACATCATCTATACCATGGGCGGTCTACTGTAGACAGCATCCCAAATAGCTGGAAGTGTGTTCCTTCCACATTTCCAAATGGAATTTGTCTGCTTCCCATGAGCCTGGCAGGCCAGCTCTCCAGAAAAAGCCTCAAAATAAAACACAGAGCCCACAAGAATGTTTTCCTCCTGACACTTTCCAAAGCTTGGGAAAAGAAGCTTGGATCCGATCAACCGACCTCACCTTGCCTCTTAGAGGACAGGGCAGAACCAGAGGACAGTGGCGTGCCCAAGGAGATGCTAGGTGGCTGAGCGACTCCTCTCTTCTTAAGTCTTTTATTTATGTATTTGGTACATGGTCTCACTATGCAGCTGGGACTCATAGTGATCCTCCTGTCTCAGCCTCCCCAGCACTGGGACGACAGGCGTGTGCCACCACACCAAGTCTGCGACTTCTCTTCCTATTGCCACCGTCACGTCCCTGACAGAGCCCACCTTCTGCCTCCACAGACCTACATTCCCAGCGTGCTGTCTTCTGTTCAGATTTCTCTTCATGTCCTTTTCTGCCTGGAGAGTGTTCACTTATCTGAGAAAGCCAGGGAAACAGCTCGCCACTGTGAAGGCCCTGGCTGCCCCAGGAGGGGCTGATCCTGATCCCACCGCTGACTCAGACCTCCCCACGAGCTCCTTCCTACCTGGAGCGAGGCCTTGTGCTGCATCTGTTCAGTGCACGGCCGGCCCCCAGCACCTCGCTCTGTGCCTGGCACACAGCAGAAGCTGAGCAGAGGCTTGCTGCACCTCACAGAGCACACCTACCTGACCTCTACACTCCACTGCAGAGGTTCAGGGCCGGGCAGACAAAAGCCCGGGTGTCCCCAAAATGGGCAGATGGAGGGACACTTGTGACAGCTCCTGTGTGTGTCAGGGAGTGTCGAGGGGCATGGATCCTGAACATCACCCCAGAGCAGGAAGGCCTAAGCCCTTCCTGCAGGGAAACAGGACCCTGGCAGAGCTCTACGAGCTGCAGGAACGCCGAGGGGCCCAGAGGCTGGCACCGGGGAAGCATCCAGGCCCCCGGCATCTCCACACAGCTCTGACCCAGGCCCTGCCGTCTGTGCCCTGGAACAAAGGCCCTCTGTGGCTGCGAGAGAGGCAGGTCAGGGCCTGCGCTGCTCCGGCTGCGGGACAGGTGCACACACCCGCTGGTTCCAGAGCCAGCTTCAGTCACTGGGAAAGGGTGGAGAGGTGTCTACGGGGCTTTCCAACTGCCAGGGTGCTTTTCATCACAAGAGGGGCCTCGGGGCACACAGTCATCAGCTTCAAAAGAGAAACAGAAAGCATTAAGACTTCACCTTTCTTTCAAACACTATAATGCTTTCCTAGGAGTTTCTAGAAGGCTAGAAACAGGCAGTGGTTGAGTGTTGGAGGAGAGAGCCGGACTCTGAATGGAAGAAGACAGAGGCATACCCAGTGCTGACGCTGTGGGCCTCCTGGTCCCAAATGTTAGGGCTTTGGTGTGACGGTTTAGGTCTAAAATGCACCCCCAAACCTCAAGGGTCCAGAGGTGGGGCCTCTAGAAGGTGACAACATCATGAGAGGGCTCTAGTGCCACCCATGGTTTATACTTCCTGCACTAAGTTGGCTCTGTCAGGGCTCTGTCACATTTGGGCTCCTCCTGTCCTCCAACAGGGACAATTCTGACACTGACTTCTGAAGGCTGCTCGTGAGAGATGAAGTGAGATGGAAGCGCTCAGTGACTGGTGTGTGGCAGGCTCTCAAGCGATGGTTTCTATCCTGTAATCTAACAGGGTTTCGAGGGAGAGGTTTCTAGTGCACGCAATTGTGAATAAGGCCCAATTGGAAGATAAAGAGCTTACGAGCAGCCTTGCTCTTTATAAGTCAAAGAGCTGACAGGAGAAGAGAGGCGTCACCTTCCCCCAGAATACAGGCAAGCAGAGAGACTGGCATTGCTCTCCTTCTGCCCTTGAAGACATTAATAAAAAGACTGAAGGACAGCCTTCACGGTGGGGGCCAATGCCTGGCAGCCATAGAGAGAGGATAGATAGTTCCCGCTGTCACCAAGAAGTCAGGGCTCTAACTAAAATTGGGTGGCTGGCAAGAACAGTGCCTGGCATTTCAGTCCTGGGGCACAGAGACCTGGCTGATCTGCCTCCGGTCGGGCTGAACTGGGGACAGAGGACGGCGAGAGATGGAGGGCTAGGGCAGCTGCCAGGGGACAGGAAGCTCATTCGCCCACCCACTGCCAAGTGGAAAATGGAAGCCATGCATTCCTGCTGCTTCCATGTTGCATGCTGAGGGGACTATAGGACAAGAGGTGAAGATGGCAAAATCTGCAAAGCCCACCAATGGCCTGCCAGCCACAAAGGAGCGAGGCTCCGGAGCCAGGGCGTGCAGTGTGCACTGCGTGGGACGCAGGAAGTTATGGCCACACAAGAGCAACTTCACCAGCTGCAGTACTCTGCTCTTCTGCTGGCTGGGCAGAGGAAGCAGGACAGGGCAAGCAAGGGGAGCTCAGCCCCCAAACTCCAAGCCCCCTCTATCTCTGACACCCACTTCCACAGGAAAAAGCCCTGAGGAGTTTCAGATAGAAGTTTAACCATGAACAAGATAGGGATGGGGCTTAGTGGTTGAATGCTCGGCTACCACGTGCAAGGACCCAGGTTTAATTCCCAGTACTGGAAAGACAAACTGCAGAATCATAGATGTGGACAGCAGGAAAGGTGGAGACTCGGCATAGCGCTGCTGACATACATCAAGTGACTTCACATGATGACCCCGTAGGGGACACTTCAGCACCCTGCCGCACAATGCTCTTCTGTGCTCAGACACCATGAGGTCACCCCAATATCTCCAATATCATAAGGGGACACAGAGCTGAGGATCTCTTGGCAGGATGTACCTTTAAGGGCCACTCAATAGGTTTTCACATGATGCTCTAAAGAACAGAGTTCTAAGCCTGATTCCCTTAATCTATATGTGACCTTGAGTTTATCCGTGTGCTGCCCTAGATTAAGCCACCGCGCACATAAACTCTGAAATCCCATGGAGCTGGGTGTGAACTCTGCCTCGGCCATTAGGGTCCGAGGTCTGAGGATGCCACTCACAAAGCCTCTTTAGGCCAAAGGGTCTTCACCTGTAAACTGAGCCACAGTTTGAGAGCTGGAGCCCGTACAGGTATACCCTCGCAAGCAGAGTAGGCTTCTGCTCATTTGATAAATGCTCAGTGCCCAGATTCCAAGGCCTTAGGGCCAGAGAGGATAGAGCGGACAGGGACACAGGCAGCAGCAGGCAGGACAATGGGCAGATGCCAAGCGGCTGCGGTTTGACGACCCAGGCCTCCAGTGGCCCAGGCAACGAAGTAGGCCTGCAGTCTGCCTGTGTGGCTAAGCACAACTGTAACAGGTCCCTGCTAGCACTCTGCTGGAGGGACACTGACCTGTCCCTGCGGTCCACCTCTTCTGGAGGCTAGCCAGACCACGTCCTGCCACCTACCGGTTGGCACATGAAGGCCTCACCAGGAGGAAGAGCTGTACTCCTCTGATTGGGAATCGACATCTCCCTATCACCCTCCACCACACCTCAGCAATACATTCCGGTGGATGAAGGCCCATACCCCGAGGTAGCGGAAGCCTCCTGCTGTAAGAGCCAGGAAGAGGGCTGACCACACTGTGGCTGCTTCAGGGACATCTGGAAACACTGTGACCACACCTGGCCAGAGACGACCCAAAACACTGGTGCTCCTCCAAGGGCAATTCCAAGTGCCGCTGCAGAAGGCTCATACCCGGAAGCACAGACACTGGTGATGGACGTCGCCCACCCACAAAGTGAAGAGACCACAGCCCAGAATGCAGCTGGGAGAACCCAGCTCACACCACGCACGTAGAAGAGCAGAATCACCAAGCGCCCCCCGCCAGCCATCGCGCATGCGCACTTACCCGTTCCGCTCGGCCACGTCTCCTCCCTGCTCCCCTCTGCCCCACCCTGCCCCCCTCAGTCCCTGCCGCCGCAGCACCCTTGCTCAGGAAAGGCGCGCCATTTAGATGCTGGCCCCGACTGCTCTACCTGTTCTGGGAAAGCTGGAGGCAGGTGCAGCCTAATGAGTTTGGGAGGACGCTGGCCCTATAGCAGCCTCGAAGCTGGCAGCTGCCGGTGTTTACAAACAGGGGAGACGGAACGTTTCCAGGCTGAGGTGCTGCCCGAGGAGGCTACAAATTCCAAACAGCCAGCTCCAGGCCAATACCTGAGTTAACAGCAGAACATTACAAGAGCTAATGTGCTAATTAGCCACCATATTTCAGCTAATTAAAAACTCATCGGGTATAAAAACGTAGTATTGCATTAATAAAGCGCATCGTTTTTTAAGAGCAGAGCAGAGTGCTGCTTGTCTTACAACAGAGACAAGCACGGAGCGTTTCCCCCAGGAACTGTACGGTTTATTGTGTTCTGTGGTTGGGGGTTCCCGCTTACTGATAAAGCCTGACTTGATTATTAACTGAACTACCAGACAGGTAAATCAAATCAGCACTGTCCAAGCAAGCCCTCCTCCAATAGGAGCAGCTCGCAGCTCGCCACCCCCTCAACGTCTTCCAGACAGGGCTACATTCTTAGAGCGATTCCCTGGGTTGGCAAAAGCTGGCGTCTTCAAGTTTAGGCAAGCGCTGAGCCACCGAGGGAAATGAGACCAGAAGAGTCCACCAGCGTCCCCAGTGGCGAGCATCCATCCCAAGGTCTTCCGTGAATGACAGGCGGGCACCCTAAACGAAAAAAAGGCAGCTGCAGGACCAGCGCCCTGACTCACCTTCTGCAGACAGCCCCTGGATGTTGATTCCCTTAGCTGCCAGGAAATTCAAGCAGGCATCTATGTTTTCAATCTAGAGGGGGGAAAAAACAACAACATATACTTAATATGATTTTTGCCTTCTCCATAGCCACCTCTTATTAAGAACCACAGGCAGACAGAATGTTGTAAAAATGGGTGATGGATGGATGGAGGCAGGTTAGGACTCTCCTTTGTCTGTACTTGCACAGGAAAAGGTTGCCTAACATTCCAGCCACACCATGCCAAAAGGCCTTGGATGGCTCACAGCTGCCGAAAATAACCAGGCAGCAGGGCACGCCCTCCTCCCGATCAGTGTCGCCAGTGCAATCCTGAAAACGTGAGCAGCGGCCAGGAAGGAGGGAGATGGGCACGAGGCTAGTGGATCCACCCAGCCACCCACTGGGAGCTGGGAGAAATTTCCAGCTCCGAAGAGGCAGATGGTCAAATGTACAAGTGGCGAACAGGAGTCGCCACAGGGATACAGGTAGTGTTTACTCACAAAATTCTCAGGACAGCAGGCATTGCAGGTGGCCAGAGAGGGAGGTGACTTCCCAAAGCTCTCTGTCCTTCATACTCTCTGGGCAAGAAGGAAGCCACCAACCAGCTAGAGTATGTGAGGTCTCCCAGGCCTGCCAGGACCGATGCCCCAGCCAAGGGCAAACCAACATCAAGCCCTCACCAAAGAACCTTCAGGTCACCCCCAGAGGTCTCATCCTACTCCAGACATGAGGACTAATTACTTTTTGGATTAAAGGAAAATCTTCTGGCTTGACTGATGTCACTGTTGACCATACATAAAAGAAATAGCTTCAGGGATCTTTGAATTTCACACAATTTGCCTATCATGGTAAAGACTCAGTTCCTCTCCCCACCACAGCAGCCCCCTCCCCCACCCACCTCCCAGGCGCCATCAATATTGTTAGACAGTCAAATCAGTATTTAACTGATGCCATTTGTTTTGAGTTAATAAACGACTGTCTTCCACTGTGTCCTGTCACCATCCTCCCTCCCTATCTTAAGCAAGCTCGCGATGCCCCTTCACAGACCGAGAGTCTGAGGCGCTGCATTCTAAGTACTCTACTTTGAGTGCAGTCTGGCTCCAAGTCTTCCCAAAGGTCCTGTCCCCTCTCCCACCACATCTGGCATGCTTCTTCAATACTGTCACGTGAAAGCACTCCAGATGCACTCAAGCTGGCTGCAAGACCCCCAAATAGAGCTGCGCCCATCTTGTAAGAATCCAGTCAACCTTGAGACTGAAGGCATCGCTGCTTTTGGGGCACACACAGGTCTTCACCTTTCTTAGCCTCTAGCACCTTGAAGGGTCCTTATCCAACACGTATTTTCTCATCTCTAGAAAAAGACGCAGTCTGCTTTCCTATAAACTAAGTAACTGCTAATGCTATAAATTATGCCTACTGTGTTACAGACAACCACTTCCTAGACAGATGGAGGGAAACTTGGGTGGCTTTGAATCTCTCCGTTCTTTGGTCCAGCCACTGGCTGGCTGACGGATGAGCAGGTCATCAAGGAAAGGGAGAAGAGGGAAAGAAGTGAGTAGTTGACAGTGCACTTATAATAACTCTAAATGCCATTATATTCTATTATAGAGCCCTGCTTTTAAGGGAAAGTGCCAACCATTGTTCCTTGTTTCTATTGCTATACATAATGTAATATGCCAATAACCCCCACATTGGCACTTTTTTAACAAGATGAAAATCCTCTTCCATTCCTACCTTCTTCCCATAATCTCTTCTTGCTTCTGTAATACCTTGTACATAGATGATAAGAAGGAGTGGCTTGGACAGTTATGGTCAATGGAAAATGAGACAGAGAAAAGGCTGAACTTCCTTTATCTTTGCTAATCAAAAGGAACTTTTTTGGAAATGGCACCCTTGGGATTTACCCTAGAAAGCATCCTTTAGGTGGGTCAGTATAGGTAGGGCAAGATTATCCACAAGAGCATAGTAGCACTCAAGAAAAGACAGGCACCCAAACATCCAAGAAAAGTTATGGCACTTGCCTTCCAAAGAGCATAAAATATACCTGCCCATCATATTTATGGACCACTGAGTACCCAGAACATCACTGAAGGACACAGTAGAATTTCCGGCGAGGCTAGCCTCTGTCCCCTTCCATTCAGTATCTTCTAGGACTTCTTTTCATGTTGAACTCTATGAAAGGATGTATGACTATAAATAGGTTACCTGGTATATGTCTTCTTCCTCTGCTGTTGATTTTTTTTTAAACTTCTCCCTGCACCCCTTCTCCTCTCCATTGGTGTGATACCTTCATAGGATATTAGGATTGAGCTCAGTATCACACCAATGGAGAGGAGAAGGGGTGCAGGGAGAAGTTTGGGTGTATTGTTGACACCTCCTACTGTTGCAATGGGGCTGAACGGGTGGCACTACTGATGACTCAAGGATAGGCACCGAAGAGGACCCAAACCTCCTACAAGGCTCAGAAGAGCCCTCCCCAGTGGAGAATCAGCAGTCCTAAACTATGAGCAGTGGTGAAGTGGACAGCCCTCCAAACCTTGAGCTGCGCGATTGATGGATTGCTTTAGCAGCAAGTCCTCTGCAAGACTGAAGGGGGGCCCTTGGTGCTGACCCCACCCCCAAGTCCTTCTTATCTACAGAAAGACTTTGTCACTAAGATGCCAACGCTGGGCTCTGACTACATTCTTCCTGCCTCAGCCTCCCACTGACTGCCAAACCCAGCTTCAGGCTCCATGGTGTGTCCACTCATTCATTCTATCAACAAAGCTCGGCAGGGGTCTGCTCTGCGCCCCATGCCATACACATGCTGCTGATGGCATTGGTCTTACCAACTGTCACTACATCATGGAGAAAGCAAGGCAGCAGGATCAGATTTTGGAACCAAATCAGACAAATCAATAGCAGAGCAACAGCTGCAACTCAGGAAGTCCTCCTGCCTGTCCCAGGAGTCTGCATGTATATAACCCTCCTCCTTGGAGCCCAGACAGCCACTCTCACTCCCAGGCTGATTTCTGTCCAATTCTAGAGAGAGTCAGAGCATGTAAACACAGAGACTAGGCTCCTCCTTCACCACTGTAGGTGAACAGAGGGCCCAAGAATACCAGGAATGGTGTCTTTTAAAGAGGAGATGAATTACAAGGAACAACATCCCAGAAAACATTAAAACAAAGAACAAGAACATGGTCATCATCGAAAAGATCATTCCTAAGCCCACCAAGCACCCCGGTTTTCTTCCTCCAAAGATGAATGCTGTTCACAGAAGGAGTTCAAAAAACATTCCTCAAGTCTCAAATCCACTCTTTAATAATGTGTCATTAAGGTTAAAAATCAGACCTGACAAGGCAGCTGAGCCCCGAGCGCCTTTCATCTGCACCCCAGGAAGAGAGCAGGGCTGGGAAGCAGAAAGGGGTCAGATGTGGATTCCAACCTCCTGCTTCATTTGGAATGAGATCAGAAAGGGGGCCAGGCTCTTTGATCCAGGAGCTCTCGGTGATTAAAATTCACCTTAAGGTTTTCCAACAAATCCTGCACAGGTAAATAATCCATCTTCAGGCACTGTCGAAACTGCAACCCCTGCCCCTGCCTGGAGAGGGGACAGCCCAGCAGCTGCCCATGGCTCGGCAGCACCAGGATACCCATGCCCTCTCCTAGAAGACTCCCACCTCATGTGCAGTCCAGACACCCAGCATGAGCTGAGGATCCGGTTATAAAGGGAGGCAGAGCAAGGACGGAAAAGACTCCTAACCAGAAAAGTATGTAATTAGGAGCGAAGCCATTCATTAGCACATAGTGGCCAATATAAACGACTTTCCAAAATTAGCTGAAAAAAATCTGCGTGAAGTCTGACATTCCAGTGTTGATGAGGAGGGGTAAGGACAGGGCGAGAGACTATTGTAGCGGTTGCCATGGGAATGGGCCCTGGAACTCTGGGAGTTGTTGGCATTTGCAGCACAGCTGGGGTGGGAAGCCCAGCAGAGGGGCCCTGAGACCCCGGAAGCAGAGAGGTGCTGGAGAAGGGAGGCAGAGAAGAGCAACAGGTGAAGAGCAGTATGCCCTCCCGGTGCCCCCTTTGTGTAAGGACACGCGTGGCCTCTACTCCGGCTCTGCTGGGACCTCCACCCCAAAGTTGCATTGCTTCCTAGCAGCCTGGGGTTCAGGCTTAGAGGGCAGCTCCCCCAAGGCCATGCATGGGCCTTTCGCTCCTCTATCCAGCAGTACGTTCCCAGCCAGACAGCCAGAGAGCAGGAGCAACTGACCAAATGCTGAGCAACTGGACAGAGAACCGGGATAGGAAACAAATGCTAACCTTCGCATTTCAATCATGCTTAAGGCTGGAATGGGCCTCCTGATAACAGAAGCTATGCAAACCTCGGAAGTCCTGCTGTATATCTGCTTGGTAGCTCAGAGGCTGCTCAAATGCCATCTGTTGTGGCAGTTGTCATGGCAGCATTTTCTCTGAATACCAGTGTAGCGGAGTACAAAGCACAGGAAATGACTGATGCGAAGGAGGACCCTCTCTGTGGGAGCTGCGCAGCCAGGGAGAGGTGGTGGTGGGAACCTACCCAGTAGATGGAGGGCTGGTTTTAAGAGTGAGGAGTTTCTCACCACATCCCCTGGGGCACTGCACCCTGGGAGGAGGGGCACACAGCGGCTGCCCTGGAGCCTAGCTAGTCAGGCACCATCACAGACTTTTTTTTCAAAATCACAAAATGCCTAAAGCTGAGGCAATGGGACATCCAGGCCCCGGGTAAAGCTGAGTGAGAACGTGCAAATTCTGGTGACTCGAGAAGCACAGGAAGTTCTGCAGGTCAGCCCAGAGGCTTCGGTTCCAGGAGGTCGAGCAGCCCTGGCGCCTGACTGCACCTGACCCATCCTCCCTGTCACCAGCAGCATGCAGCATCATCCATTTATTGTTCTTTCATCTTATTTGCTGAGCACTTTGAGGGGCAGGCTGTGCGCCAGTGATGGACATGCAGCGGCAAATAAAACAGACAGAAGCTCTGAGCTCGTAGAATCTGTGAGTCACATGTAGAACAGGCACTCAACAAATGGT